TGTGAAAATTCTGAGAAACTAGATGTGCATGGGTTTCTAGACTATATTAGCATAAATCCTTGCAACTTTCTGATGACTTTTCATAGTTTGTGTTTTAATAAACACTTTAATAAAATATTAATAATTCAAAATGTAGAAAAATAAATGTTCCGAAATTGTCCAAAACCTCACTTCGTCCAAGGCATTTCTAAACTTTTGGAGGCTTCTAATCCTTATTTAAGAATATTGTTTGAACAACATATACTTGAGCACAATTGTATATTCTGCTTTGTTCTCATTTCAAAGTTTTGTCTCATTTCAGATTCACCTGCTCCTATATGCAAATAACTGTGGCTAGCCAGAGGGCCCCTTCCTGTCTGAGCAGGCAGTTCTTAGACAGAATTAGCTTCGGTGTGGGCCAGACTTAATGCTAATAGTCAGACAAGTTGATATGCAAGACTACTTCTCAGTTCACTACTGCAGTGGGTGTCTGATATCAGTCACCATTCATTTGTATTTCATTTCTAATGGGAAACAAATTAATATTCTCTAGGTCTAGACTCTGCTCAGCTGAAGCCAGCTAAGGACTGTGCACCCATCGAGTATCCGAAGCCTGATGGGAAGATCAGCTTTGATCTGTTGTCATCTGTAGCCTTGAGCGGGACCAATCATGAGCATGACCAGCCGCCCCATCTGACGCTGAAAGATGACCGTGTTCCTGTGGCCCAAAACCTTGCGGTTTATGACGGCCCAGAGCAGAGGTTCTGTCCTGCTGGTATGTAACTAATCCACTCTGCTGCACTTAGCAATGAGTCAATGGTAACCTGCAAATTAGCCTTTCGGTTGCACACAATAATACAAGATCATCAGGCTCGATAGTATGAGGTTGATGAAGACACCTGCTGAACAAGTTGCCAGTGTTTAGACATTTTGTCTCTGATGTCCCACAGGTGTATACGAGTATGTTCCTCTAGAGACAGGCGATGGCATGAGATTACAGATCAACGCACAGAACTGTGTCCACTGTAAGACCTGTGATATCAAAGACCCCAGCCAGAACATCAACTGGGTTGTACCTGAGGGCAGTGGTGGACCAGCTTACAACGGCATGTGATTTCAGTATTATGTATCGTTTTTATTATTGGGGTACATCGCACAAGTTCAAAATCACATTACTCAACTTTCAGGGCTAAAGCTTTTAAAGACTTAAGAGCCCTTCTGATGTGCCTAAGGAACAGAATGTCATCATATTCTGTCTGATATGAGCTTTAAATGTAATTACATAAAGTGGTGTTGCAAATTTCAGTTTTGATGAAAACTTGATAAAACATTTTTATATATCACGTCTAAGGAATGTGTCATAAAAGAAGAAAAATTATCATGTTGGATTAACAACTAGTGGACGGTTTTAGCTCACCATGATGCAGTTAACTGTAAACTGACAGTTTTGTATATATTGTCAAATTTGGTAACTGTAACAGGTAGAAATAAATGAATTATTCCAATCTGTTGGTATGTTTTCTAGAACTACAAACCCAAAAGTCCCTGAAAATATCCATTGTTTTATTTGACGCAAATTACATGACCGATTCTCATTTCACCAAGAAAAAGTTTTGCTTTTTTTCATCACCGATTGATAGAATGAGCAGCAGTTAAAACAAATGAACCCAGAAACAAAAACATTATAACTGTCTTTAAAGTCAGTCTATTCTTTCTTAAACAGTAATCAATACAAGACATCTTTAGATCAGCTCACTAAAAATGCATTGAAACTGTCCCTTCACTGACAGACAAATTGTTTCCTAATACAGCAGACGATATGACTTTCTTTCCAAACTGCACATGGCATATATCCTAAATTAGAGACTCCAAAGCCTTTTTACCCAGCTTTAGATTTAAACACTAAGACACAAGTGCAAAGTAAACATATGCAGGTAGGTCGGTGTGGAGTGAGGTCACTGCAGTTTCCGTTACGCAAACATTTTGGCGTAAATCTTCTTTTCTTTCTCTTTCTCTTCCTTCACTTGCTGCTTCACTTTCAGCATTTCGTTTCCAATTGCTGAAACCAGGGCAAGGAAAATGTTAAAAACATTTTTTTACAAATCATAATTATAAAGATGTTTTTAAACAAAATTAAGGATTTGTAAAGAGCTGGTTAACCTTTGTCATCTGGTGCGATCTCCTGTGCTTTCTTCAGATCAACCTGCAGTTTAAAAACAGAAAAATATTAGTGCTCTTAAGTCAATGCCCAAAAACAAACTCATGTAAACTGAAGCAATTTTATATTTTTGTAAGACATTTAAATACATCCAAATGTTCTAAACTTTTAACATCTGTCTTTGTGCTAAATTCAGTAATTGCCCTTAAAATGTGACCTAGAGAATATGTAGTTTACTAATGACTTGAATGGTTTTCCTGAATAATAAGTCTTGTTAAAGGGATTCTCCACCCCAAAATGAAAATTTAGTCATTAATCACTTACCCCCCATGTCGTTCCAAACCCCTAAAAGCTTTGTTCGTCTTCGGAACATAATTTAAGATATTTTGGATGAAAACCGGGAGGCTTGTGACTGTCCCATTGACTGCCAAGTAAATTACACTGTCAAGGTCCAGAAAAGTATGAAAGACATCGTCAGAATAGTCCATCTACCATCAGTGGTTCAACCGTAACGTTATGAAGCGACGAGAATACTTTTTGTATGCGAAGAAAACAAAAACTCCTCTGTGTCTCTCCGCATCACCGTAGTGCTATTTTGGAGAATATCCGCTGAACGCTAGCAGCGTACACTCTTCTGTGTAAGCCGCGACACGTTCTGTACGTGTATTTACGCTTTGATTTGAACGAAAACCGCGCATCCGTGCTTGCGCTCGGTGGTGATTCTCCAAAATGGCGCTACAGTGATGCGGAGAGACACAGAGGAGACGAATTGTTCAATAAAGTCGTTATTTTTGTTTTCTTCGCGTACAAAAAGTATTCTCGTCGCTTCATAACGTTACGGTTGAACCACTGATGGCAGATGAACTATTCTGACGATGCCTTTCATACTTTTCTGGACATTGACAGTGTAATTTACTTGGCAGTCTAAGGGACAGTCACATGCCTCCCGGTTTTCATCCAAAATATCTTAAATTGTGTTCCAAAGACGAACGAAGCTTTTACGGGTTTGGAACGACATTGGGGGTAAGTGATTAATAACAACATTTTCATTTTGGGGTGGAGTATCCCTTTAACTAGTTCTAAATGAAACTGTAAAAGATTAAGATTATTCGTAATGCATCCTTTTTTGAAGCCTGAAAGCTCCAATCCAGATTCTACCTACATGGAAAGAAATAAAGTCATACAGGTTTGGAACGTCGTGTGGGTGAGTAAATAATGCCAGAATTTCATTGTTTTCGTTGAGGCATTTAGTGCAGTGGTTCTCACAAACTATCTTTGTGGCTAATTTAAAAAAAGTTGACGGAAAGCACTAATGTTGAATTAACAGTTGCCTTTAGGCTGAATGCAAAATCTGCAACTTTTGGTAGTTTTTCTGAGAATCGTAGTCTGTTTGTTTTACTGAAAAAGTTTGGGAACAACTGATTTAGAGTGAGATGAATGTGTATTTCTGTCTATGTAGTGTGGGTACCATGGCCTTGTTGAATTCTTTGAGTCCCTGCCAGGCCTGAGCTCTCCTGAACAACGCTTTCGTGTTTGTCTGGTTCAGCTCCAGGGCCTGAAAAAACAAAACAAAACATGTTATAATAAATCAAACATCACAATCACCCGAAAAACCAGAAGAAAATACACTTCAGGTCCTTTCAAGAAATCTGAATCCATTTCAACTGCTCCCTAAATAGAGAGACGTGGTGAATATCTAAAATATGTCACTATAAAACAACTCAAGGCCCGTTGCTTCTTATATCCTCTAACCCCGATGCAACTGGACACCGTTCAGTCAGCTCAATGTCAGAAGGTCCCATGTTACCTCATCACAGCTCTCGATAGCTTCTTGCCAGAGTTTCAGTTTGAGTTTGCAGGCGGCCGTGTTGAGAATGCAGCTCAGGGCTGTGGGCTCCAGCTTCTTTTGGGCACTATCATCATCAAAGGTGTTGCCACCAATCTCTAGATACCTGTGGACCAAAATAACCTTCAGTGACACTACTGGGTTACAATGATGCATACAGACATGTTGCAGTCAGTGTTGTATAGCAACGCTCAACTTTAGATTACACAGTTAGAAATCTTGCATATCAAACAGGTACTTACGGGAACGTCATCATGACATGAGTCATTTTGAGGAAAGAAAACTAAGCTATAACAGCATGTTTAAAAAGGTTTGACAAATTGAAATCAAGTGTGAAAAGCGGTCTCTTTAATGTCACGGTGCAAGCGTAATGTAAAAATGGGGCTTAATGGCAGACTCGACAAGTGTTCACCTGAGAGCTTTTGAATATTTCTTGATGGCCGACTGCCAGTTCTGAGCCTTGAAGAAGTTATTCCCGATGTTTTTCACATCTTCTGCCACAGACAAGACTTTGTTTACCTAGAAAGAAAACGTAAACATTTTTCTTATTTTTTGCATTTATAGCATGTAAATCACATTTCAGCTATCATACTATATCATACGTTGTAATATATTATATATTGTTATTTTTACTGGCTATATATATATATATATATATGCATTTTTATATAATAATATATAATATTTTGATATTTATAAATAATATAATTTTTTATTTTTTTTTATTTTAATATAAATATTTTCTTTTAATATAAATGTATATTTTATTTTAAAATACGTTTTTTTTTTTACCTGTTATTTATATTATTATAATTTGGCAGTGGTGTATAAGTAAAAATAAAAGTATTATTATAAAGCTAAGACTTTCCTTTTTCCTTTATAGAGCATAAACTCTAAATGTGTTTAAGTTAAAGTGATTCTGCATTTTATGGTGCAGGTGATATATAGGATATATGCAAGTGAAAATGCAGAAATATAATGACATCTTTAAAGTCCATGTTAGAGTCCTCGGGGAAGTCTGGGTATGCGTCTCGTGAGCCGTCATTAGGTGCGATGCCGCAGTCATCACTTGCTTTATGTTCTCCACATTCAGCAATGATGCAGGGCTGAGAGAGATACAGATATGACAGTTACAATCAATCTAAATATTCAGTTGCTCAATGGAATAAGGAAAATACTCCTATTTCCTTATTGGAGAGAGAAATGGTCACACATAACGTCTTCTTTCAAAACAATCATTTATCACACTAAGCTAGTTCACCTGTGCAGAACATGTGACAGACTAAATTTCATGACTATTAAATCTTGGATTAGGGTGACTAAATGCCTATAAAAAAATATTTTAGAAATAGCTGTCCTTCACGACTGGTTAAGATCTCTGTCGCTATATATTTCTAAGCATGAAAGCAGATGTTGCAATGCATTGATGTATTTAAGGAGTAAAAGTTGTCACCTTGACAGGATTGTCGTCCTTTGTTTCTATCCCCTCCAGCATCTTCACCACCCCCATTCCCTTCAGCACCTGGCCAAAGACAACATGTTTGCTGTCCAGGTGTGGTGTGGGAACCGTGGTTATAAAGAACTGTGAGCCATTCGTGTTGGGGCCGGCATTCGCCATACTGAGCAGCCCCTCTATGTCATGCTGGTGGAGGCAAAAGACAACCAGATTAATAGAGCATCACTTCATTTGACAAGACATACAGAAGGTTTATCTATTTCTCATTTGTTCCTCCGAGCAGACACCAGGAAATTAGTGAATGCCGCAGGGAGATAGATCAAGTGCTGTGTTTGGTTTATTTAATCTCCTAGCAATTTCTGAGCAATTACACAGACTGACGGATTTGACTAACTAAAGGAAAAATTAACCAAAAAATGACAATTCTGTCAGAGAATATGTGTATCAAACAAGGTTTGACATCTGTTGGGGAGGGTGGTGTGACCGGAATCTTATCATGATTTCCACAATTTTCAAGAGAAGCGTTAACCACTTCTTTTGCATTACAGGACTGGAACAACATGAGGGTGAGTAAATGGTGAGTCTTCTTATTTTTGGATGAACTATCCTTTACAGCAAAGCAGCTCTGTAGTACCATGTAGTAAAAGTTTTCATCTTCAAACTTGTCCCCATAGATGCTCTCTCCTCCGGTCCCATTCTGATTCGAAAAATCTCCACCCTGGACCATAAATTTCTTGATGACTGAGGGGTACAAAAAGAACTATATATATAGAACATATATTTGTGATCACATATTATTGATTACTGAATAAGATTGTTTTATAGAAAGTGGACTTCCGGTTGTATGGTTTTAAATAATCTCACTCACTGCGGTGGAATGGACAGCCCTTGAAGTGCAGCGGTTTCCCGGTGCTTTTACCGATCCCTTTCTCACCGGTACAAAGAGCACGGAAATTCTCTGCCGTTTTAGGAACCACATCAGCAAAGAGCTCAAACACTATACGGCCGACTGCAAAGAGATCAAAACAGCAGGAATGCATTATAAGATTACTTCAATGATCTCTGGTTATGCTGTAGATATGATATATTTTGCCTGTTGTTGTATTTGTTCAATGACCTATAACCTTTTAGTACATTTCATATGCATATCAAATCTGGCCAATCTGACCATATTGAGTCTGCTTTACATACATCAATAATAAAAACTTAAAATCGGTTTCATTTGGAAAGGAGTTACTATCAGAAGAGTACAAATGCGCAGAGCTGTCATCTTTTCTCTTATTGGTTGCCTTGTTGTATATTGTATTTTTGCTGTTATTTAATAACTCTACTACTGACAAAAAAAATATGTATGTAGGGATATTACGGAAACATACCGGTTAGATAAAAGGGGAATAATGAAGAAACGCCTGTAATATTTCTCAGGTTAACGTACACTCAGCTGTGATGAAATAATCGAAACGATTTCAACCTTGATTCATGTGACAATATTTGAACCCATATGAAGGGGACATAAAATGTACTGCACGACAGAGACTCGTATATACTACAGCAAACACTCGCTAACACCATGCAATGTCAAAATAGGAGAATTCACACTGCTTTTCTAAACCGTTCTCCGTGGTTGAGTTCTTCGCATCGATTTCTTTCTTCTGAGCTGTTACAGGCATGTGGCAGGACACACAAGCATTCAGTCATTCAGCTTCTAACAAAAGATCCTGACCTCTTTCACCAACGATATCTACGTCAAAGAATACCCGAGGGTTGTCTGCGTTTCCAGGCTTGGCTACAGGAGTTGGGTTTGACATTTTCTTTGATTTTGATAGGGAAAAGGGTCCTAGTCTGCCTGGACGGGTAACTGGAATATTCTCTGAAAAGAAAGCACTAGTAAAGTTGTGACTGAAGCATAGGTGAGCGTGTAGCGTCCTCTACTGCTCTGGAGTCTAGTAAAAAAAAGAAACTAAACCCCTATATATAAGGTTTTACAGCTATTCAGTCAGATATTTATGAAAACATTTTCAAAATCAGCCAAACGTCTTTCCATATTTTACCTCAGCGTGATATGTCAACTTTATTTTAGTATCACTGAGATCCTATTATAGTTTTTATTAACATTTTGAATTAGTTGTATATATGAATATATATATATATACAGTATATATACAGTGGGTACGGAAAGTATTCAGACCCCCTTACATTTTTCACTCTTTGTTATATTGCAGCCATTTGCTAAAATCATTTAAGTTATTTTTTTTCCCCTCATTAATGTACACACAGCACCCCATATTGACAGAAAAACACAGAATTGTTGACATTTTTGCAGATTTATTAAAAAAGAAAAACTGAAATATCACATGGTCCTAAGTATTCAGACCCTTTGCTGTGACACTCATATATTTAACTCAGGTGCTGTCCATTTCTTCTGATCATCCTTGAGATGGTTCTACACCTTCATTTGAGTCCAGCTGTGTTTGATTATACTGATTGGACTTGATTAGGAAAGCCACACACCTGGCTAAAAGACAAATACACTATTGTACATAATCATTTGTAAAAACCCAGGCTAGATTTTCCACGAAGAAGGCAATACTTAACAGACTCTCAAAAAGTCTCAAAAATGTAATGAAAAAGTGAGAATGGCAACTGAGCAAGGTCATGTCTGTTCGTCTCAAGATACTGGAAATGGCTAGAGTGAATTGTGTATTATTAACTGGGACTGACCACTGATAGAGACACGGGATCACATATAAACCTCTTTTAGCTGCAGGATTATTGCTCTCTAGTTCCTATCAACTGTCTGAATCTATAGTGACCCTTGATAAGAGGATTTGATCTCTATATTATTGAGACTTTACAAGCTTCTGACCATTTAAACCACAGATATGAGGTAAACAGCAAAGTGAATGAAGAAAACTAGTTTGTTTCTTTACTTTTTCTTAATGTTTGCATTCATTTGGGAATAAATCGTCTAGTACTACCCACAAACATAATAATTTAATGTATTAAAACAAAATAAGATTTTTTTTTCCCCAATTGATAACATGGAGGCAAATGAACCAAGAAATGAACGTGCAGCAAAAAAAGGACACATTTAATGTGGTTTTACAAGAGTTGACAAAATGTTATATGAATAATAAATTGTTTAATGATCACAAACCAGCATTCAAGAATCGTGTCATATTAAGCCTCACATCATATTTCAGAGCTGATCCATATCCGTCAAAACGTAATGCCGTGTGGTTGTGCTTTCTCAGTATTGATTGACTGTCTTTACTACAGATATGGAGAAGAACAATGAGAGAATGTTGAGTGAAGTAATTCAAGATTACACAGTATTCAGACACTGAATTCTATTTTTTTCTTAAAGGGTCATGAAACCCCAGACTACTTTTTCTGAGATTTTAGCAGAGGTGTTTGTGTTGCACATCATAGAAGACAATGTTAGCATCCGATAATTTTAACTGTTGGAGAAAACTGGTTAATTTGAAGCTTTTTTGCGCTATTTTCATCTTCCGGGTTTCAAATCTACATCATGTTGACATCACAATTTGTGACTTGGCAAAGGACTATAGTACATCGATGACGCATCGGTGTATATTAAATGATTCATGAGACTGCGTGTTCCTATCCTATGAGAAGGCGCTTCGGTTAATTATTCACAACAGCATGTGTTGATTTGCTATGACAGACGCTTCAGACTGTGAGATCGCATACATTAACTGAGAGAAACGGTCATGAATCGAAGGAGAGTGTTTGTTTTTGCTTTGTAATAAGAGTTCGGCACAACTCTTAGTGAGTGTAACCGTTTTTACAGCTACGTGACACAACTCGTCGAAAGGCTTATATAAACGCCGCAGAATAAGCCTTAAATGTTATCAGAGGTGCAACGGCACGTTCGCATACAGTATATGTTTTCGAAGCAGAGTGCAAATTAATTTGTGTTATTAACTCTATGGGAGCGAAATGAAACTGTCTGAAAGTGAAGCTGTGTGTGTTGTCTGTCTCTCTCTTCCCCCTCCTCCGCTCCGCTGCAAACCACGCCCACTTTTTTTTTAGCATTTTTTTTAAAACTGTGGAGAGAAGTAACCAGTGCTGAAACAGGGGGTTTCATGACCCTTTAATATAACAATCGGCAACCCAGCAGTGAGGTTCTACTGGGTGCAGAGTGCGTATCATTTGTTCATATCTCACCTGGCTAAGCGGGAACTGTTTGTTGTCGTCCTCGCTGTGGTTCCAAGCAAGCTTCCCGCAGGTCGGTTGTTTGTCCCGAAACTGAGACTGATTCTGCCTGTGTGCAAGCGTTGAATTATTGATTACTAGAGGAGAAAAGCTTCCTCTCCATCCACTCTACCCTATTTCCTGCCAGTGAAACCCATCACCATCTAGAGTAATAGGGGGAGCTGCAGGTAATCTAACCCTTCCCTCCCTGGTTACTGGTATCTCACCATGGGCCGTGAGTCACTTCGTCCTGCACAGCTGATTGAAATCTGTCAAGCTGATACAAAAAGGGTTGGGGAAAAAAAAATCATAATTCAGACACATGCAGTATGGCAATACAATCAAAACTAGTCTTTGCAGATTTGTTAAAAAACAAACAAACAAAAACGTGTTAAACAAACACAGTTATAATCTGATCCTTGAAGAGACACTGAGATGCATATGATGCTCTTGGGTCATATAAAGTAAGTTCTCATTTTGGGGCAAATGTTTAGGGTTGGCAAAGCAGCGTTTATTTGATCAAAGATATAGTAAAATATTATTACAATTGCAATCAAAAAATGCAATTTATTCCTGTGATGGCAAAGCTGAATTTTCAGCGTCATTACTGCAGTCTACAGTGTTACATGATCCTTCAGAAATCATTCTAATATGCTGATTTGCTGCTCAAGAAATATTTGGAAAATGGAGAGAGAGGGAGAGAGAGGGAGAGAGAGAGAGAGGGAGAGAGAGAGAGAGAGAGAGAGAGAGAGAGAGAGAGAGAATCTTACCATTGTTTTGGCCAAAATAAATTGTAAGTACATGTAGCCTATATAATAACCTCATATTGTTTGCTGTTGATGGCAGGTCGTCTGTTGAGTGCAGTGGAGTACTGCAGACCCCAGCCCACTTCTCCGACGTAGCAGTGTTTCGGTAACGGCGGGGTCGCGAGTGCTGCAGGCCGGAAGAGGTAGTTGAGATCACTCGAGGCATCTGGAGATAACGGGCCGATTCCAATGCTGCGGGGGAAATAGTCCAACCTGGGACGGAAATCTTCAGTGCCGTCTGGACCTTCATGGCACCAACAAAAGATCACTATTCACATTCGTAAACGTATAGTGTCATACTAACATAGAATTCAGAGTCGTTCATAGGCCTAAATACGTTACCTGTGAACAGTATTCTCTGGCCAGGCGAACTCTGAGTTTCTCTGTCTGCTTCTTGTACCTTCTTCATCACCTTCACTTTGTTTAGGCTGCCTTGGTCTTAAAACTGTTGCTAGATCTTTGAAATATCAGTAAGCGCATCTCATCGCTGTCAAACAAGCCCTGGGCGGGAGGTCACTCAGTCACTCAGTCACTCGCTCGCTCACGCGCCGTTGCCATGCAGCTGTTGGTCTCCACTAAACAAGTGTTTAGTAGGGATGCATTATAGGCATACTAATTTACTTATACGGATTATTTATTAAACTAAAGTCAGTCAACACGGATTTTATTTAGTACATGGCTTATACAATTAAAACCATACATCTGATGTATAGTTTTCTTCTTGACTAATAAATTAATTCATTTAAATCAAATTAATAGTAAATAAATAGCCTACAGACAAATAATGCAGCTGACAAAAGGCTGATTGATTGAATGAAGGAATCCACAATATATTTGAAGTCTAGTGTGTAAATCTACAAACAAACATGTTACTTCTAACCTTCATAAATTAAGTATTTGTATTAGTAATCGCTTTGTCTAATTGGCAGCCTAAAATCATTTTTTGGCACCCATAAACTTAATGATGAAATAAATGTATTATATAAACTTATAAGCCTTTTTTGTTGTTGCTTCATTTGATGCATTTCTGTAGCTCAAACCATGCTAGCAAGGTCGGTTTGATTCTCAGGGAATGCATGAGCTGATTAAATGTATACTTTCAATGCAATCTAGCCTTAGTTGCTTTGGATAAAAGTATCTGCCAAGTGCATAAATGTAATGCAGGATTTGATGTTAACGGTTTATAAATGCAAAGACTGTTTGTAGAAGGAAACTATACTTTTCAAAGCAAATCAGCAGGCATGGGATATTTGATATTCAAACAATGTCTTTAAACCGGTTTGCTTTTGTTGATATAAAATAAGGCTTTAGTGGAGTCTCAGATAACTGAATTCCATCATCATGGAAGTGTCATATTATACGATTTATTTACTGAATTTATTCGGAAAACAAAAAGGCGCGATATTTTTGATCATGCTGACTCGTCTTTTCTTCTATCCTAACCAGCAATGAACCAACATTAATTCAAATTGTAACATCTGTGCAGTTGTAAGGGGTTAATATAATTGTTCATTTATTTTTGAGTCGTCAGCAGTGCACAGACTGTCTTGATTTGCCAGATGACAGAAAATGTGTGTTAGTAGAGTTAATAACTCACAGCTTGCAATACCGTCTTCAGCCAGTGGATGGAGACAAAGCACTATGTGTTGTGGCTGAATTGTTCTGTGGGCGCATTATTGTGCTGAATGGACTCGCCCATGAAACCTCTTGAGGCGGTCGGTCACCATGGTGGTGGCTTACAACAGCGAGCCCAGACGGCAGACCATCCGTCGCGTTTAGACGCTAAAACACTATTTATTAATGCTGCCGTTGACCTTCCGCTGCTTTGCAAATGGCTTAAAATGGACAATCACCCAACGCATGCATTGCACATGGATTTGTTTTAAAATGGAAAACTGAAGAAGATGGAATAGCGAACAAACGGAATGCTAAAAAAATGCACTCGTCCGCGTAAAACATAAACGTACCGCTTGCCTGCAAAAACCTTTCATTGACACAAAATCGCCTGTCAAGTCACAACAGTTGAAGCTTCAGCGGCTGGAATAGGAAAAGCAGACTGTCTGGTTTTGTAGGATTGGGACGAGGGACAGTAAGAGAGCTCCTGGCTTAGGTTGTGGCCTGGGGACAGGCTCTCCTCTGCAGTTGCTGCGATCTAAAAACGTTTTTGTACCGCTAAAAAGCTACTTGTGAGACTCGCTTTGTATTATTTGACTTCACTGTTGTGCGCGACTGTTTTGAAAACCATGGCGTCCTATGTGGATAACAGTTTTCGGCAGGCGGTGATGGTGAATCCTTCAGACAGGACGCAACAGGTCAGAAGACAGTCTTTTAAATCATTTATTGTGTGCACGGGTGGCTGTTAAATGTTTACAGTATGCCGTATTACTGCTGTTACCAGGCTATCACGTGCATTATACGCTTTTCTTCCACAGTGTTGACAGTGCAACAGTTTTTTATTAAGTTTAAATAGTTTAGGATAAGCAGTGCAATGAAATTAAATGGTATGAATTAATATGCATATATGTATATAATTGTCCCCAGTCAGCTTATAATGCATTTTCTCTTTACTGTTTTTGCAGTTTGTTACATAAACATGAAGCAAACGTTTGTAAACTATACGTATTTCACAGCTACACAAGCCTTGTCAGCTCGGCTTTGCGTCGGAAACCGTTTAAAGGGGTCATATGATGCGATTTCAAGTTTTCCTTTCTCTTTGGAGTGTTACAAACTGTTTGTGAATAGATAAGATCCCTGAAGTTGCAAAGACTAAAGTCTCAAAACCAAAGGGATATTCTTTATCAAAGTTAAGACTCTGCCACACCCCCTAAAACGGCTCGTTCTAACACGCCCCCACATGTCTACCTCACTATGTGGAAATATTAGCATAATGCCGCCCAAATGTTCACGCAAAGAAAGAAGGCGTGGTTTCAGTTACCTCAGTTAGTGTTGAAGCAGCCATGTCAGGGAGACGCTGTGTGTTTCTAGGTGAAAACAGCAATGCATTTTATGGACGACCGTTTCGTGAACCTAGGAGAGGAGGTAATTCTGACTTTGCTATGATAATCTGGCGCTTCTGAATCAGCTACTGTTTTGTTATTAGTGTAAGTATTTGCTATTGACTGTTCAAATGCGGAGTTTCGCGCATCGTGTGTGTGTGAGTGAGAGAGGGAGAGAGAGAGAGCGAGAGAGAGAGGGTCACATCACAGTGGAGTCAGCTGTCTTAACCGTAGCTTGTGTACTGCAAACACATACCAGCTTCATCACTGTGTCTGTCATGCGACTCTGTTCCCCTTTCGGGCTCTGTCTTTACATTTATTTTGAAAGATGAAGCTCGCGATTATGGTAAGGGGCGTTACATTTCCGACGAGTGCTTGCGGTGTTTGGCCAATCACAATGCACTGGGTCAGCTGGCCAATCAGAGCAGACTGCACTTGTCGGAAGGAGGGACTTTGTAGAAAACGAAGCGTTTGAGAGAGGCGGGGCCTAGAGGACCTACAATAATGTACAGTATTTGAAAAATAATGCGTTTTTTTGAACATTAAAGCATGTCAGCATATTCTGTTACACCAAATACACCAAATAATGATCTTTAAAAAAGCATCATATGACCCCTTTAAAATGACATACAGCAGTGGATTTGTGTGGTGTGAGGCAGAACTGACGTTTAGTTATAGGTTTTATGCTTTGAAAGGCGTTGCGATGACATTTTGTCTGCTTGGTTGGATTAACATTAGTCTCCACCCTTTTACGTGGCTCAGCCGGTGTTACGGTTTAACTGGTGACCGTGTTATCTGGTGACTAGTCTCAGCCTCGTCTAGTGTTGGGTCGTTCTTGAACGATTTGTTCACTTTGAACGAATCTTTAATGTGACTCGGGAAGAACGAGTCGTCTTGGGGAGTGATTCGGTCAGTTGCGCATGCGCAACATCCTATAGGTTCTGTACTGGAATTAGTCTGTACTGGAAGTAGTTCACCTGGTTCGAGTCTTCGGGTTTTTCCGAGTCGTTCGTTCATCACGTGACAGCCCCATAAGCTTTAACCAATGCAGTCTGAGCCGGAAAGAGAATTGATTAGTTCATCTCTCGAGTCTTCGGGTTTGAGTCGTTCATTCATGACGTGACAGCCCCATAAGCCCAAACCCGAAGACTTGTCAGATAAGAGGTGAGGTGAGCTAATCATAGACTGAAGACCCAGGTAAACAATGAATTAATCTTTTCTGTTTCTTTTGTATTGTTTGTAGTATGATCAACGTTTGCGTAAGTAGTAGACGTATTAGGGAAGTAACACGTAACATTTTAATTATATTTTGCTAAAATGAACGAAATGACTCGAAAAAAGATTTGTTAATTTTGCTGAACGAGACTCAAAGGTCCGAGTCGGTAAAATGATCCGAACTTCCCATCACTACAGACGTCACGCCCAACGGAACGTTGGCTAAACGTCTGATGCATGTGGCACACAAAAGTGGAAACGCTTCAAGAGTTTCGAAATCGTCATCGGATTGGTTGAATTATACAGGATTTCTGGGAGACGTGTGTGTCGCGTTCTTTAACGTTCCGCTTGGAAACAAAGATGCTGTGACGCCAAACCCCCTCATGAAATGAGGAAGCCGTAGTGTTTACAAATGTGATGACTAGGGCTTATCAGGATCAACTAAACTCTGGATTCTCAAAAGTATGTGAAATATTTAAAGTTCGCGGCATAGAATCTTTAAAATACGTCCGAGAGTTTTACACGGCCCGAAACGTGACGCTGAACAAATCGAACTGTGATTGGTTGTTTGACATGCCTTGGCCAATGAAAGCTGTCATGGGCTGCATCCAAAAACTCTAAAATGCTGCCTTCGGAGGCAGCATTCCATGACAGGAAGGCATCAAGGCATGTCCGAATCCAAATTCTGCTTTACTTCCTGTCTCCAGAGGTACCTTCTTCTGATCGAATTTCGAAGGCAGCATTGATGTATTCTGCGCTGCCTTTGATATCCCACAATCCTCTGCGTTCCATTCCGTGGACCGTTACGGTTGAGCTAAAAAATAAAGATGGCATCTGAAAGTTGCGTTTGGTGGTCAGTTTGTGTGTAAATGTATATTTCTGACAAACGTTTTGCACTTTTGATGTTATTTCTAGCGAGGAATCAGTATTATAGTAATTAAATATTTGTTTAGTTATCACAAAAACTCGTTCTATTTTGTTGTAGATCATTAAACCGTTACGCTGCCTGTCCGAAATCAGTTTCATGAGGTGCCTTCGTGCAAAAACGCTGCCTGCAAAGTCATTGCCTCATGAGGCAGCAAGTCAGCTGCCTAAGTTTTCGGATGCAGCCATGGATTCCTGGCTACGCGAGACTATCTGGTGACCAACTTCCTGGTTCCGGTCTCCGCTCCAGATGTGATGGAACGACCGCGGCAGATTAGCCAATTCTGAAAGCACAAACTGACGTGATATTAAGCTGTCTAATAAATGCACACTTGCTCATTACATGATTTTGATATTCTTGTAAAGATTACAAATTATTGGTTTGATCGCCCGTAGTGGCTTAAGTAAGGAAAATAAACAAAAAGGTCTGTTTGGCACGGGTTTCGAATACATGCTAAAAGACGCCGTGCTGTGAGACGGCAGTAATGAACCACTGAGCTACCGAACTGCACTGGTTCAGCTGCAGATTTCTGTATTG